GTTACACTATAACTATAACGAATATGCATGGTGACATTTCGTCTGTAAAATGCGCATACATTATACGTATAGATATTTTATGACCAGTTAATGGGTGTTGAATTACTTATTTTAATTCAGCCATTTATACGCCCGACAACCACAACAGAAATGCACACCTGAACAAATAATATAACGACTGCGTATAGGTTCCTATAATATAATACAAAATCGAAAGATCACAAGCAGCAACTAAAATTTCAAAAAATGGACCAAAAACATACATCATCACAATGAGTATATTGCTGCAAAGTGTATTGTGTTTTAGGGACACAAAAATAATTATATAATAATATCACAATGAAATTATTATTGTTACGTTGTACTAAATATATATGACTACGTATATAGTGTTCAAAAGYCTTGGCCTACATCACGACTCAATATTCGTGGTTATTATATTATTTGGAGATAAATCGTCTTATAGCAGTATACAATTATTGAGTCTCAATAACTCGAAATTGAAGGAGGATGAAAATTCGCTTCGAGATACCWGTATATAATTAATTGAATTGTCATAAGAATTTCTAGAGGAATAAAAAAAAATCTGAGTCAAGATTGTCGAGTTATCATCACTCGACTGTACGTATATAGTAATAATTTAAATATGAGTCATCGTTTATATTGTTATATAAAACAYGAGCGTCAGAATCGCCATGGAAAGGTTTTCGAAGATTTTCTCGTTTCGACGTACGTCTCGTTTCGAGCGAAACATATAACGTTAGGTGCTGTATAGTAATTAAAAGCATAGTGAAAAAACTACTGCGGGCGTTTTGCACGAATAAATCTCTTCTCGGAGAGGAAAAAATAACCGCACACCGGATAGAAACTTATACTGAGTGGTTAACTTAAATATATATATATATATATTATAGGCATAGAGGTCGCCCTATAAATACACAATTGTTCCCACGAGTGCAATAGTGGATTAGCTTTTTTTCTCTTRGTAACCTATCTTTCGCGCCTATTATATACATACTTTTATAATGTATTGGTCGAACTAGTTCTGCACGGATTGTATATTATATACACTTGAAGTAAAAACTATCTCATCAATCATATATATATATATATATTCCGAACAAATTGGTTAATTTTAAACATTTAGAAGACGGGGTTAAAATCGACAGTGAAAAACAAAACTTATTATATGAATTATATTAAGATTTAAGCCGATATGTCAAATACACGAAAAATCGATTGTTTCACGTCTTTTGTTTTTTCAATATTGTTTTCTGTACAATTATAACAAGATCTGTATATGCTGTTGTTCCACGTGAACAAGAAATCGTGTTTTTACCTAAATAGTATAACATTTGTATTTTATCACATGTTATATGTCCACGAGGTGTTATAATTATGTAATACATATTAATGTATGTACATGACCATATATTATATGTACTATATGGTATACACGCACACAGGTACCCATATAATCTGACACGAATATTATTTAATTGGAAACATCCATTAAAGTTCGACACTAATAAAATATATTATTGATGGAATGCTGCTGCAGCACACGAAAAAAAACTCGAAATGTAAAAACCATTGTACGTGCTTAATTGTCTCCTAAATCAACTTTGACACGTCGTTTAATATTTTTTAAACATAAAATATATTTTTGTAATTTTTATGGTAGTAGGAGTGCGGTTATTAATTAAATCAAATTGTAACATGTTCTGGTACAATTTTTTTAAAAGGTCAATCCAATCCATGTTCACACATTTTTGTAAATTCTCATTTCACTTCAATATGTTTTCAAATATGACTGAATAATGGAATAAATTAAAAATTGTACGTGATTATCATTTCAAAAGAATAACAGCTAGTTATATTTCAAAAATCGAAATCCTTAATACGTTTTTGATATTGATATGTGTGACACTAACGTTTGTACCTATATTAACTGGAAAACTATATTGATAGAATCAAAATGCAAATATATAGAAGAAAGTTGCGAAATCCTCGCGTCTCATATATTATTTTAATTTAACAATTTACGAAAGTGTTCAAAAGTTTTGTTTAAAAATTGTTTTTATGGCTCGCCCGATTAATATATACACGTTTTCTGCGATTAATAAATCTGAAACAAGACTTTTTCAGCCCGAAAGAAGTATAAAATTTAATCACTTAAATAATTCGTCTTATTCACCACGGGAAATAAAGTAAACTGATATCATCGTGTGATAAATAATAAAGGCGTWTTGGAGCTAAATAATATTATAATCTTATATAATCTTATAAATACAGCACAAGATGAAGTCCGTAATATAATGTTGATCCTTTTAAACTGACTACACTATTTTTTCAC